TGTGTGTGTGTGTGTGTGTGTGTGTGTGTGTGTGTGTGTGTGTGTGTAGATGATGGTGAAAACCTTTGAGCTGTGTGACCTGCCTGTCCGAGTGGCCAAGTTTGTAGCCAGGAAACACTGGGTCGTCGCTGGAGCGGTAAGTAATTCATGCCAGTTACTGTTGGCGGTTAACTCGTCATGAGCATATTGAGCATATATTCTCTGTATACACTCTGTGTGTGTCCTTGTTTTGAATTTCATGCAATGCATTTGTGACAGTGTGGCCAGATCTGTCAGTGTTTCTGTGTATTGTTTTGGACCAAATGCACTCCTCTCTCTCTCTCTCTCTCTCTCTCTCTCTCTCTCTCTCTCTCTCTCTCTCTCTCTCTCTCTCTCTCGGTCCCCAGGATGACATGCAGATCCGTGTGTTCAACTACAACACCCTGGAGCGAGTTCACATGTTCGAGGCTCACTCCGACTACCTCCGCTGCATCGTCGTCCACCCAACACAGCCCTACATCCTCACCAGCAGCGGTACGAAAGAACTACACACACACACACGCACACACACACACACACACACACACAGAAGATGTCTGCCTAGCTTTGTACATGAGGGGTTCTAAAACTAACTAGGAGAGTGTAGCATTTTCTAATGTCTTTATTTCTACGTGTGTGTGTTTTCAGACGACATGTTGATCAAGCTGTGGAACTGGGACAAAAAGTGGACGTGCAGTCAAGTGTTTGAGGGACACACTCACTACGTCATGCAGATTGTCATCAACCCCAAAGACAACAACCAGTTTGCCAGTGCGTCTCTGGACAGAACCATTAAGGTACACACACACACATGTAAATGCTTGTAATAGCACACAGAAGCAGATGGCTTTAGGGCACAAACAGAAGAAGGTGGCTGCTGTTGTTCCAGTTTAAATGAAGGTAAAGGTGACAGAAAAGGAGGGAGAGGCGGGGATGTTTTCTTCACAGCAGAGGTGACGGGGCTCATGGGAAACGTGGTCTCAAGTTTGAGAAACACTAACACCCCTTCTGGGAGGTAGGGGCTTTTAAATCATCTCGACCGAGGCCTCGTTTGGTTACACTATGTACAAAATAAGTATACACCGATGCTCGCAAAGCTCCACAAAGTATCCTTAAGTGCCGTGTGTTGCTCACTGCGTGTGTGTCTCTTCTGCAGGTGTGGCAGCTGGGCTCCAGGACTCCCAACTTCACTCTGGAGGGCCATGAAAAGGGGGTGAACTGCATTGATTACTACAGCGGAGGGGACAAGCCCTACCTCATATCAGGGGCCGACGACCGCATGGTCAAGATCTGGGATTATCAGGTACCGAATGCACTTTCTTATTGCTCTGTGCTCTGTAGCAGTTTATTGTGTATTGTGTTATTTCATTATTCCTGTTTAGTGAGTTTTTATTTCTGTCCTGCCGTCCACTGCTGTTTTACAAAACATTCATCTTCCTGTAATACATATAAACATCAGTTATTAGATTACTTCTATACGCTTTTAAATTAACATATTTACGTGTGAAAATTCCAAATGAACCGCTCACTAAAAAGCTTTAAGTTTATTCTGATGAATGGCTTTTCTTCTCTTCTCCCAGGCTCGCTCCAAGTAGCCGTCTCATTTAAATGTTTCGTATGCGAAATAACCAACTAAGTCTTTGAGCATCGGCCAATTTATCTCACTGAATAAACAGTATTGCACAGTTTGTAGTAGGACGGCGGAAAACAAAACTCATTTTTTATCTCATTCTGACAGATATGCAAACCGTGAAAACAAACATCTCTCTGTCGGCCAGCTCTCTTCCATATTAAGTCAATTATTCAACAACTGAGCTGTAATTATCTTCCAGCCAACCTCGCATGATAGTCTCATCCCATACATACATAAGTGCAGCAGGAGAAGTAGCTGTGATTATATCTGTAGAGGAAGCGATATGCAAACTCCAGTGTAGCAGATAGCATGTGCATATATATATATATATATATATAAAAAAATAAATATAAGAC